GGGGCACCCCAGCACTCACAGGGGGTTGTAGTCGATGGACGTGTCCTCTGATGCGTCCCACTCGAACACGAACTTGCGGTCGTTGAGGTGCCGCGTGCGCCGCCGCTTCTTCACCCCCCCGAGGTACCGCTCCTGCAGGACCCCAGGCTCAGTGGGACCCCTCATCTTCCCCCCAGCCCCCCTGGACCAGCCCCCAGCCTCACCTTGATGGCGTGGAGCTCTTTGCTTTTATCCTTCTCCTCCCGGATCTTCTGCCTGCCCTCCTCGTCCTCAGTGCCGTTGGTCTCCCGCTCCATGCGCTCGCGGCGCTCCCGGCGCTCGCGCTCCTGGGGGTCTTCTGGGGAGCAGGGGAAGGGGCTCAGAGCCAGCACCCACCCCTAGGGCTGGGTGAGGGGCTCCAGGGATGAATCCTTACCCAGCATCTTCCTGCCCATCTCCTGGAATTGTTTCCTTTTCTTCCTCTCCTCCTCCAGCAGCCGCTGCCGCTCCTCCACCTCCTGCTGCCGCCGCCGCAGGGCCTCGGCCTCCCGCTCCGCCTTGGACAGGAACTTGGGCTGGCATGGGAGAGAGGCAACGTCACACTGGGCCTGCCTGCCACCCTCTGTGCTGCTGGGGGTACCCTCAGCCTTCTCTGTTCCTTTCTGGGGCCCCCCAGGCCTCCTCTCTTCCTCCTGTCTCTCTCTGGATCCCTCAGATCTCTCCACTCCCTGCCAGGGTTCTCTCTGCTCCCTTCCTGTGTCCCCCAGCCCTCCTTTCCCTCCTAGGGTTCCTCTGTGCCTCTCACACTTCCCTGTTCCCTCCCAAGGTCCTTCTGCTCTCTCCTGGGGGTCCACCAGGCCTTCCCTCTCCCTCCCCTGTCTCCACAGCCCCCATGTGCCCTCCCAAGTCCCCCAGCCCTCCCTGCTCCATCCCATGACCCCTCCTGGTGTCCCCTGGCACTTCCTGCTTCCTTCTGGGGTCCCTCTGCATCCCCAAGTTTCTCAGCCCTCCCTTGTTCCCTCCTGGGGTCCCCACAAACATCCACACTCCCAGCAGAGGGAAGAGGCTCCTGTTGCTTCTCCTACCTTGGCTTCTGCCTCCTCTTCTGCCTTCTTCTTTGCCAGCAGCTCCTCCAAGGACAGCGGCTGTGCCTGCAAGTGAGGCCAGATGTCAGCACCACTCCTGGGGACCTGGATTCCCTGGAACCCCTCCCCATGGACCTGAATCCCCTGGAACTACTCCTGGGGACCTGAATCCCCTGAAGCCACTCCTGGAGACCTGAATCCCCTGGAATCCCTCCCCACGGACCTGGATCCCCCCTGGAATCCCTCCCCATGGACCTGGATCCCCTGGAACCACTCACAGGGGCCTGAATCCCCTGGAACCCCTCCCCAAGGACCTGAATCCCCCTGGAGCCACTCCTTGGCAGCTGAATCCCCTAGAATGACTCCCCAGGGACCTGAATCCCCCTGGAACCACTCCCATCCAAGCCCCATCCACCCCCTCTTCACCTTCTCCTTCTTCAGGGCATTTTCCTCCTCTTCCTCTGCTTTCCGTGCCTCCCGATCCTTCCGAGACTTGGAGTCCTTCCCCCTGCCCGGGGACAAACTTCCAAGGAAAACAGCACCAGGAATTAGACACCGAGCACAGCCCTGGGGGATCCCAAACCTCCAGGAGGTTTAGGGGAGAGCAGGAACCCCTCAAAAAAGGTGACAGGACCCACCTGGACCGCTTGCGGTCCTTGTCCCGCCGGTGCCCATCCTTGTCCCGGTCCCGCTCCTTCTTGCTGCGGTCCCGCTCCCGCTCCTTGTGCCGCCGATCCCTGTGGGACAGGGGGGTCACAGCCCCACGGCGGGGGGTCACAGCACGGCCCCCACAGCCCTCACCCACCCTCTGTGGGGCCCTGCAGTGGTTTTGGTTCGTCAAGTTGAGATTTGGGTTGTTTTGAGACTTCCTGGCCAACGCAGCAGTGAGGGTGGTGGGCTCAGTGCTGCTCAGTCCCCAGTGCACTCAATTCCTGCTGTGAGGAAGGGTTAGGAGGAAGGCAAAGCAGGCTCAAAACTTTGAAAGGGAGCCTCTTTATACCCCCTTTAAAATAAATAAATACCGATAATAAATTCTTTTATATTCTCTTTAAAAGGATAAAAAGAAAAACTTAGTAACTAAAATAAAAAGTAATAAGAATCAGAACAAAACCTTCACAACATTTCTCCTCCCCACAACCTTTCTTTCCCATCAAAGCTCTTCCCAAACCCGGAGCTGCCTCACCTCTCGGTGGATTTGGAGCGGGATCGGGACCGGGAGCGGCTCCGCCTCCGCTCCCGGGACCGGTGGCGCTTCCGCTCCTTGGCCGGGGGGGAGCCCTTGCGGTCCCGCTCCCGCTCCCGGTCCCGCTCCGCACTCAATTCCTGCTGTGAGGAAGGGTTAGGAGGAAGGCAAAGCAGGCTCAAAACTTTAAAAGGGAGCCTCTTTATACCCCCTTTAAAATAAATAAATACCGATAATAAATTCTTTTATATTCTCTTTAAAAGGATAAAAACAAAAACTTAGTAACCAAAATAAAAAGTAATAAGAATCAGAACAAAACGTTCAACAGCATTTCTTCTCCCACAATCTTTTCTTTCCCATCAAAGCTCTTCCCAAACCCGGAGCTGCCTCACCTCTCGGTGGATTTGGAGCGGGATCGGGACCGGGAGCGGCTCCGCCTCCGCTCCCGGGACCGGTGGCGCTTCCGCTCCTTGGCCGGGGGGGAGCCCTTGCGGTCCCGCTCCCGCTCCCGGTCCCGCTCCGGGGAGCGAGAACGCTTCCTCTCCTCCTTCACCGGGGATGCATCCCGATCCTTCTTGTCGGCCACTTCTCCGGCCATCTGTGGGGAGGGGGACACCGGGAGGGAGAGAGAAGGGTTGTGAGATGCAGGGGGGCCACAGAGGGACCCCAAGAAGGAGTGGGGAGGTCCAAGAGACCACCAGGAGGAAATGGGGAGAGGCCAAAGGAGCCGGGGAAGGAACAGAGAGACGCCGGGAAGAAGCAGGGAGAGCTGGGGGACCCCGGGATGAGCGAAAAGGGACCCTCGGGAGGGAGAGGGGAACGCGGGGAGAGGGCAAAGGGACCCTCGGGAGGGACAAAGGAATGCGGGGAGAGGGCAAAGGGACCCTCAGGAGGGACAGAGGAATGCGGGGAGAGGGCAAAGAGACCCTCAGGAGGGACAGAGGAATGCGGGGAGAGGGCAAAGGGACCCTCGGGAGGGAGAGGGGAACGCAGGGATAGGGCAAAGGGACCCTCAGGAGGGGGGAAATCTTAAAGGGACCCTGAGAAGGGAGAGGGGACCCGGGGTGAGCGCAAAGGGACCCTCGGGAGGGACAGGGGAATGCGGGGAGAGGGCAAAGGGACCCTCGGGAGGGACAGGGGAATGCGGGGAGAGGGCAAAGGGACCCTCAGGAGGGAGCGGGGAGGCCTGGGGGACCCCGAGAGGGCACAGAGGGACCCCAGGAAGGAGCGGGAAGGGCTGGAGAGCCCCGAGGAGAGAAGGCAGAGGGAAGAGAGGACCCCGAGAGGGCACAGGGAGCCCCGGGGGTGGGTGCGGGGAGCCCTGAGGGACCCCGGAAAGGCTCCGGGAGGCCCGGGGGACGCGGCGCAACGGCGCTCCAGGCCCTGCCGCTGGTGCCCAGCACCGGGGCTCTTCCCGGTGCCGCGGCACCAGGGCTCTGCAGCCTCTGTGCCCCTCGCTGGCTCCCTGCAGTGCCCCCCGCTCGCTCCCGCCGCTGCCCGCTCACCGCCGCAGCCCCGGGCTCAGCGCCGCCGCTCCGCCGCCATGTCTGCCGGGCCCGCGGGGCGCGCCGGGACGGCGCGGGACTACAGCTCCCGGCAGCCCTCGCGGCATTGGACTACAACTCCCGGCGCCCTCCGCGCTCTCCCGGCGCCCCTGAGCGATCGCAGTACCGCCGCGCCCCGTGATCCTTCCGCCGCGCGGCAACTCCCCCCGCCCCACGGCAAAGAGTCCCCCGGGACGGTGTCCCCGTGTCCCTGAGCCCCCCACAGCCCGCAGGGACCTCCTTCTTACCCAAATGAGGCCCCTGAGGACGTGTCCCCACAGCCCAGAGCACCCCAAAGCCTGGAGGGACCCTCCCGAGTCAGTGTCCCCCATGTCCCTGCACACCCCAAATCCCACGGGGACCCCCCCCAGGTCAGCGGCCCCACAGCCCCGTGCACCCCAAACTCACCAGGGACCCCAAGATCAGCGTCCCTGAAGGAGCCCCACCTCCCATTCACAAGATCGGGGGGTCCCAGGCAGAGTCTGGGGGCAGAAGAGGTGGGGGGACCCCTTTTGGCACCCCCAAAAGACCCCAAAGCAGGGGTGCCAGCTCAGCCCCACAGCAGTGTCGCCATCAGCAGTGACACCGACACATCCCAAAAGTCCCAAGAGCCTCCAAAAGCCAGGATCCATCCCCAAAGCACAGGGCCAGGCAGGGCTGCACATAGGTAGGTGTTATATTTCTGATAATAAATAAGCTTTTTAATAACACTGACATGGAACAGAGACACCCCCCTCCCCCAAAATACAGTCCATAAAACAGCCCCCCTCCCCCCTCCCCAACCCACAGGGTCCCCCGGGGCCAAGCAGCAGATGAGGGATGGGGGGAAGGGGGAGAGAACAGGATGAGGCCATGGATGAGTCCCATGATGTGCACCCCAAACCCCACAGGGACCCCCAGGACGGCGTCCCCGTGTCCCCCAAAGCCCACAGGGACCGTCCCAGGTGGCGTCCCTGAGGGTCTGAGCACCCCAAACCCCCCGGGGACCCCCCTGGGTTGATGTCCCCAGGGTCCTGAGCACCCCAAACCCCGCAAGGACCACCCCAGGTGACATCCCTGAGGGTCTGAGCCCCCCAAACCCCCAGGGATGATGCTCCTGGGGGTCTGAGCACCCCAAACCCCCCAGGGTTGATGTCCCCAGGGTCCTGAGCACCCCAAACCCCGCAAGGACCACCCCAGGTGACATCCCTGAGGGTCTGAGCCCCCCAAACCCCCCGGGGTTGATATTCCTGGGGGTCTGAGCACCCCAAACCCCCCGGGGTTGATATTCCTGGGGGTCTGAGCACCCCAAACCCTCCAGGGACCCCTCTGGATTGATGCCCCCAGGGTTTTGTGACCCCAGACGCCCAAGGGTTGATGTCCCCAGGGTCCTGTGTGCCCCAAACCCCACAAGGACCACCCCAGGTGATGTTCCTGAGGGTCTGAACACCCCAAACCTCACAGGGACCCCCCTGGGTTGATCTCTCTGAGGGTCTGAGCATCCCAAGCCCCCCTGGGTTGATGTCCCCAGGGTCCTGTACACCCCAAACCTCACAGGGACCATCCCAGGTGACATCCCTGAGGGTCTGAGCACCCCAAACCCCACAGGGTCTATGTCCCCAGGGTCCTGTGCACCCCAAACCCCCCAGGGTTGATGTCCTTGAGGGTCTGAGCACCCCAAACCCCTCTGTGTTGATGTCCTCAGGGTCCTGTGTGCCCCAAACCCCCCAGGGACCCCCTCAGGGTTGGGAACTGGGTGAAAACACCCCCCAGACCCCCCTCCCACGGGGGCAGCCCCCCAGGCTGTGGGGCTGGCAGGGCGATGGTGCCATTCCAGGGCATCACCCCTTTATTGGGGGGGACCCCCCGAGCCCTGCCCAGCCCCCCCACCCCATTCCGGGGGGGCTCCCAAAGCTGGGTGTGTGTGACATGGAGTGGGGGGAAGGGGGGGTCGTTCCCTTCCCCCCTTCACATGACGGAGCAGCTTTTTGCTTTTTCCTTCTTGAAGGTGGAGGAGATGAGCTCGGAGCGGCTGGGGAGGTGCAGGAGCCGCTTGGAGAGGCTGCGGGGGGGGCTGCGGGGCGGCTGCGGGGGGGCTCTGCTCAGGCAGAGGCCGGACACGGTCCGGAAGATGCTGTGCACGCTCTTCTCCGAGGTGAAAGCCGAGCACTCCAGGTAAGCCTCGGCTCCCAGCTGCCGGGCGGCCGCACAGCCCTGCGGGGAAGCACGGCGTGAGCGGCGGGGAGCCACCGGGACGGCCCGAGATATCCCGGGACAGCCCGAGATACACCGGGATAGCGCGGAGAGAGAGCCAGGAACCCACCGGGACGGCCCGAGATACACCGGGACAGCACGGAGAGAGTGGCAGGAACCCACCGGGACAGCCCGAGATATACCGGGACGGCCCGAGATACCCCGGGACGGCACGGAGAGAGAGCCAGGAACCCACCGGGACGGCCCGAGATGTCCCGGGACAGCCTGAGATATCCCGGGACAGAACGGAGTGAGCGGCAGGAACCCACTGGGACAGCCCAAGATATCCCGGGACAGCCCGAGATACCCCGGGACAGCACGGAGAGAGAGCCAGGAACCCACCGGGATGGCCCGAGATATCCCGGGACAGCCCGAGATATCCCGGGACAGCACGGAGTGAGCGGCAGAAACCCACCGGGACACCCCAAAATAACGCGGGACAGCCCGAGATATCCTGGGACACCCTGAGATATCCCGGGACAGCACGGAGTGAGAGCCAGGAACCCACCGGGACAGCCCGAGATGTACCGGGACAGCACGGAGTGAGAGCCAGGAACCCACTGGGACAGCCCGAGATATCCCGGGACAGCCCGAGATATACTGGGATAGCCCGAGATATCCCGGGACAGCCCGAGATACCCCGGGACAGCACGGAGTGAGTGGCAGGAACCCACCGGGACACCCCAAAATAACCCGGGACAGCCCGAGATATCCCGGGACAGCACGGAGTGAGTGGCAGGAACCCACTGGGACAGCCCGAGATATCCCCGGACAGCCCGAAATATCCTGGGACACCCTGAGATATCCCGGGACAGCGCGGAGTGAGAGCCAGGAGCACCCCCAAACCCACCAGGACACCCCCAAACCCACCAGGACAGCACAGAGTGAGCGCCAGGAACACCAGGACACCCCCAAATCCACCCCCATAAACACTGGGACAGCACAGAGTGAGCCCCAGGAATACCAGGACACTGCAAAATCCACCCCCAGAAACACCAGGACAGCACAAAGTGAGCCCCACAAACAGCGGGACAGCCCAAAATACACTGGGACACCCCAAAACCCATCGGGATATCCTAAACTTAGCCCTGTGCAAACACCAGGACAGCCCAAACCCACTGAGATATCCTAAACTGACCCCCACAAACAACAGGACACCCCAAAGTGAGCCCTGTGCAAACACCAGGATCCTCCCCAAATCCACCCCCACACCAGACCACAGGGACACCCCAAAAATCACCCCCAAAAACACCAGGATACCCCAAACCCGCTCCCCTGCAAACACCAGGACCCCACCAAACCCGCCCCCCATCAGACCACAGGGACTCCCCAAAAATCACCCCCCAAACCACCGGGGACCCCCCCAAACCCACATCAGACCACTGGGACACCTCAAATCCACTCCCAGAGCCACCAGGACACCTCAAACTGACCCCAAAAAACACTGGAACACCCCTGCAAACACCAGGACACCCCAAACCCGCTCCCCTGGAAACACCAGGACCCCACCCCCACACCAGACCTCTAGAACACCCAAACCCACCTCCCACAACCACTGGGGCCCCCCCAAACCCAGGCAGGCCACCCAGACCTGCTCGTAGGAGATGGGTGCCTGTTTCTGGTGCGAGAGCTCCAGCAGCGTGCTCAGGTCTGTCCTCAGGTCCGTCTTGCAGCCGATGAGCAGCACCCGCGTGTTGGGGCAATAATCCAGGATTTCTGTCTTCCACTGAGGGGGTCAGGGCACCTCTCAGGGACAGGGGGATCCCAAAAGCCTCTCCCTGTCACCCCACGGGGGTGGTGTGTCCGTGTGCCAGCCCTGACCCCACAGAGACACCCCCAGGACAGAGCCCCCCTGTCCCTGAGGCCCCAAACCCCACAGAGATACCCCCAGGAGCCCCCAGACCCCACAGGGACTCCCCTGTCTCAGTCTCCTTGTGTCCCTGAATCCCACAAACCCCACGGGGACCCCCCAGGCTGGTGTCCCCACATCTCTGAGACCCCCTAACCCCACAGGAACCCCCATGCATGGGTGTCCCTGCATCCTTCAGCCCCCCAAACCCCAGAGAGATACCCCCAGGACACTGTCCCCACATCTCAGCCCCCCAAACCCTACAGAGATACCCCCAGGCTGATGTCCCCACATCCTTGAGCCCCCCAAACCCCACGGGGACCCCCCTGCATGGGTGTCCCCGCATCCTTCAGCCCCCCAAACCCCACAGAGAGCCCCCAGGCCAATGTCCCCACATCTCTGAGCCCCCCAAGCCCCCCCCCAAAACAGACACAGCCCCATTCCTGTCCTGAGTGGGGGCACGGCTCTAAAGACCCTCAAAAGGGACAGAGCCCCCCAAAATGGACACAGCCCCCCAAAAGGGACAGAACCCCCCAAAACAGACACAGCCCCATTCCTGTCCTGAGTGGGGACACAGCTCTAGAGACCCCCAAAAGGAACAGAACCCCCCAAAACAGACACAGTCCCATTCCTGCCCAGGGTGGGGACACAGCTCTAGAGACCCCCAAAAGGCAGAGAGCTCCCCAAAACGGACAGAGCCCCTAAAACAGAGACAGCCCCGGTCCTGACTACAATGGGGGCATGGCTCTAGAGACCCCCAAAAGGGACAGAGCCCCCCAAAAGGGACATAGCCCCTAAAGGAGACACAGCCCCATTCCTGCCCAGGGTGGGGACACGGCTCTAGAGACCCCAAAAGGTACAGAGCCCCCCCCAAACAGACACAGCTCCCCTCCTGCTCAGGGTGGTGGCTCACAGTTCTAGGGACCCTCAAAAAGCACGGAGCCCTCCAAAACAGACACAGCCCCATTCCTGCCCAGGGTGAGGACACAGCTCTAGAGACCCCCACAGGGGACACAGTCTCCCAAAAGGACACAGCCCCCATCCTGACTGGAGTGGGGACATGGCTCTAGAGACCCCCAAAAGGGACAGAGCCTCCCAAAACAGACACAGCCCCTAAAGCAGACACAGCCCCATTCCTGCCCGGGGTGGGGACACAGCTCCAAAGCCCCCCAAAAGGGACAGAGCCCCATTCCTGCTTGGGGTAGGGACCCCAAAAGACACAGCCCCTCATCCAGTCTGGAGTGGGGCCATGGCTCTAGAGACCCCCAAGAGTAACAGAGCCCCCCAAAACGGACACAGCTCCCCTCCTGCTCAGGGTGGTGCCTCACAGCTCTAGAGAGCCCCAAGAAGGACACAGGGGCACAGCTCTAGAGCCCCCCAAAAGGGACACAGCCCCTAAAGCAGACACAGCCCCCTGGCCTGACTGGAGTGGGGGCACGGCTCTAGAGCCCCCCAAAAGGGACAGAGCCCCCCAATAGGGACACAGCCCCTAAAGCAGGCACAGCCCCCTGGCCTGACTGGAGTGGGGGCACGGCTCTAGAGCCCCCCAAAAGGGACAGAGCCCCCCAAAACGGACGCAGCTCCCCAAAAGCCACAAAGCCCCCCAATCCCTGAGCCCCCCAAACCCTACGGGATCTCTCCTGTCTCAGTCTCCTTGAGTCCCTGAGCCCCCCAAACCCCACAGGGACCCCCTCAGACCGGTATCTCCACATCCTTGAGCCCCCCAAACCCTGCCGGGGACACCGTCCGGGGGTCTGAGCCCCCTGCCCACCTTCTTGGCCGCGCTGTCGAGGGTCTCGGGCCGGCTGACGTCGAAGCAGAGCAGGACGGCGTCCGAGTCGCTGTAGCACAGGGGCCGCACGTTGTCATAGTAGGGAGAGCCTGGGGGGAAAAGCGGGGGTCACCGCTCAGCCCCCCCACCCCCGGGACACGGGAAAGGGGGTCTGGCAAAGGGACACAGCCCCCCATCCCGCCCGGGGTGGGGGCACGGATCTAGAGACCCTCAAAAGGAACAGAGCCCCCCAAAATGGACAGAGCCCCTAAAGTAGACACAGCCCCCCCGTTCTGACTGGGGTGGGGACACAGCTCTAGAGACCCCCAAAAGGAACAGAACCCCCCAAAACAGACACAGTCCCATTCCTGTCCTGAGGGGGGACACAGCTCTAGAGACCCCCAAAAGGAACAGAACCCCCCAAAACAGACACAGTCCCATTCCTGTCCTGAGTGGGGACACAGCTCTAGAGACCCCCAAAAGGCAGAGAGCTCCCCAAAACGGACAGAGCCCCTAAAACAGAGACAGCCCTGGTCCTGACTACAATGGGGGCATGGCTCTAGAGACCCCCAAAAGGGACATAGCCCCCCAAAAGGGACATAGCCCCTAAAGGAGACACAGCCCCATTCCTGCCCAGGGTGGGGACACGGCTCTAGAGACCCCAAAAGGTACAGAGCCCCCCCCAAACAGACACAGCTCCCCTCCTGCTCAGGGTGGTGGCTCACAGTTCTAGGGACCCTCAAAAAGCACGGAGCCCTCCAAAACAGACACAGCCCCATTCCTGCCCAGGGTGAGGACACAGCTCTAGAGACCCCCACAGGGGACACAGTCTCCCAAAAGGACACAGCCCCCATCCTGACTGGAGTGGGGACATGGCTCTAGAGACCCCCAAAAGGGACAGAGCCTCCCAAAACAGACACAGCCCCTAAAGCAGACACAGCCCCATTCCTGCCCGGGGTGGGGACACAGCTCCAAAGCCCCCCAAAAGGGACAGAGCCCCATTCCTGCTTGGGGTAGGGACCCCAAAAGACACAGCCCCTCATCCAGTCTGGAGTGGGGCCATGGCTCTAGAGACCCCCAAGAGGGACAGAGCCCCCCCAAAAGAGACACAGCCCCTAAAACAGACACAGCCCCATTCCAGCCCAGGGTGGGGACACAGCTTAGAGACCCCCAAGAGGAACACAGCTCCCCAAATGGGACACAGCCCCTAAAACAGAGACAGCTCCCATCCTGAGTAGAGTGGGGGCACGGATCTAGAGACCCCCAAGAAGGCACAGAGCCCCCCAAAAGGGACACAGCCCCTAAAGCAGACACAGCCCCATTCCTGCCCAGGGTGAGGACACAGCTCTAAAGCCCCCCAAAAGGGACAGAGCCCCATTCCTGCTTGGGAAAGGTATGGGGACCCCAAAAGACACAGCCCCTCATCCAGTCTGGAGTGGGGCCATGGCTCTAGAGACCCCCAAGAGTAACAGAGCCCCCCAAAACGGACACAGCTCCCCTCCTGCTCAGGGTGGTGCCTCACAGCTCTAGAGAGCCCCAAGAAGGACACAGCCAAAGCCCCCCAAAGCCCCCCAAAAGGGACAGAGCCCCCCAATAGGGACACAGCCCCTAAAGCAGACACAGCCCCCTGGCCTGACTGGAGTGGGGGCACGGCTCTAGAGCCCCCCAAAAGGGACAGAGCCCCCCAAAACGGACGCAGCTCCCCAAAAGCCACAAAGCCCCCCAAAAGGGACACGCGAACACACAGCTCTAGAGCCCCCAAAAAAGCACAGAGCCCCCAAAACAGACCCAGCTTCCCAAAAAGGACAGAGCCCCCCAAAACAGACACAGCTCCCCTCCTGCTCTCAGGGTGGTGCCTCACAGCTCTAGAGAGCCCCAAGAAGGACACAGGGGCACAGCTCTAGAGCCCCCCAAAAGCGACACAGCCCCCCCTGGGACCGGGGAGAGCGGCACAGCTCTGGAACCCCCCCAAAACGCCACCTCCGTCCCCGCAGCCCATCCGCGTCGCATCGCGCCTTCGCCAGGCAGCGGGAAATGGAGCCCGCGGTGTTTATGTAACAACCCCCCCCCCCCCATTTTGGGGAGCCCCGGCAGCACAGAGGGGTGTCGGGGTAGGAGGGGGAAGCCGGAGGAGGGGGTGCCACACGCTGCCACCCCCTCGGGGACACGGAGCCACCAGCACCGCGCCCGGGACTGCGGGGGGCGCGGCGCGGGGGGGTCCGGGAGGGGTCAGTGGGGTGGGCCCCCCCCCCCCCCCCCCAACTCTTCGGGGTGCCCAGGGAAAGGCAACACCGGGATGTGCCATAATCCGACACATTCACAGGCATCCAGGGTGGGGACCCCCCAAAAGAAAGGGGTTCAGCCTCCTGTGACCCCCCCAGTGTGTCTGCACCGCCCAGCGTGGGGTGGGTCCCTGGGGAGCACCTGCGCCCCCACACCTACGGGTATGACCCTAAACATGAACCCCCCCCCCTCCAGCGCGGCCACCAAGCTCGCTCCGCCGCCGCAGGGACCCCAAAACACCCTCGACCCCCAAAAGCCCCCCGAGACCCCAACAGGGCCACCAAGGCCCCTCCCCCCCGCGCTGCAGGTCCCCAAAACACCCTCGGGACGCCAAAACACCCCACTGCAGCGACCCCCCGCTCACTGCAGCATCCCAACCAGACCCCCCAAAAACCCCAAAATACCTTCCCCGGCAAACACCCCCATTACCCCCTCCCGGAGAACCCCATTCCCCCGGTACCGGAGCCTCCGCCAGCCCCCCAAACATGCACCCCGCGTCTCCCCCCGGTACCGGAGGTATCCCAGAGGCTCAGTTCCACCCGCTGCTCCTCGCTGGCCAGACACGCCGTGTAGTTCTCAAACACGGTGGGCACGTACGTCTGTAACGGCACCGGGAGCGTCAGCGCCCGGTCCCGCTTTACCGCCGCCCGCTGCCGGTTCCCGGTGCCGCTCTGGGCTCACCTCCGGGTAGCAATCCTTGGCCAGCACTTGCAGCATGGCCGTCTTGCCGCACTGCACGTCACCCACCAGCACCAGCTTGCACCGGGCCGGTGCGGCCGGTGCCGGCCTCCGCTCCCGCATGGCGGCGGCGCGCACGGCTCCCCCGTGCTCGCACCCACCCACCGCCCTGCGCCCCGCCGCCGCAGCGCCCTTATATACCCCGCCGCCTGCAGGGCCCGCCCACGGCGGTGCCAGCCCGCCAATCATCGCGGGGAATCCCGGAGCGCCGGCCAATAGCGGAGAGGGAGAAGTGGCGGGACACGCCCCGTGTGGGGGTGCGAGCGCGCTCTTGCCCGCCAGGGGGAGCCCGTGCGGGTCAGGGCGGAAGTGCCGCGGAGGCCCCGCCCCCGAGCGGCCGTTGCCGGGAGACCGGAGGGACGCGGAGCGGGGCCGGTACCGGGACCGGTACCGGGGGAAAACGGGGGGAGGGAGACCCCCCCCCAAAGGCAGTGGGAAAGGGGCGGTGGGTGCTGGGGGAGCGTGGGAGGGCTCTGGAGATGGGGTTGGGCAGCGGGAAATGGCCTTGAGGCCTGGGGAGGGAGGTGGGAACGGGGCTGGGGGCGTCCCTGGAAGGGGAGAGGGGGGCGAGAAGGGCTTGGTGGGGTCTGGGGGTACTCCTAAGTGGAGGGTCAAGGAGCCTGGGGAGGCAGATGGGGGTGGGCAGAAGGTTGTGGGGTGCACCATGGTGCAGGGGGCTGGGCAGGGGGAACGGGCCTTGCTGGGGGGCAGCGGAGGGGTCACCACGCACACCCCGACCCCTCCTGCCGTGTCCCCTTGCGCAGCCATGGCGGGTTCCCGTCTCACTGCCCCCACGGCGGCCGAGGCCGAGCTGCTGCTGCTGCAGAGACAAGCGCTGGCCGAGGAGGAGGCGGCCAAAGCCAAGCGGGAGCTGCTCACTCGCTTCCTGCAGGTCCAGAACCCCCCGCAGCCCCCCCTGACCGCTCCAAACTCCACCCCGCTTTTCCCCAGCAATCATCCCCCCTCCAGGGCTGGGGCTGCCCCTGTTCTGCTGCACCCCCTGGTAGCAGAGGCAGCCCCAAGCCCACTCCTGCCCTTTTCCCACCTCCCACGGCCCCTCCACAGGAGAAGCTGTCCCGGGAGGAGCAGAGCAGCAGGTGGGGTCTGCACAGGGTCCTCACGCTCTGGCGCTCGGCCCAGCGCAAGACCAAGGACCAGGAGCTGCGCCAGGACATCGAGATCCTCAGCCAGACCTTCACACGGGTCATGGACTGCAAGGACGGCGCCATTGAGGTGGCCCTGGGGGATGGCAGGGTGGAGTGGCGTGCCAGGGGACACATGTGACCCCCCAAAAACTCCCCAGGCGCTGGTGACGGAGCTGCAGGAAGCAGAGGAGCAGCAGAACCGAGCCCTGTGCAGCCACCTGGACCTCACAGACCAACTGCTGCACCTCCAGCGCTGCCGCCTGGGCTACCTGGAGCAAGGGTTCAGTGCCCAGGTGGGCGCCCTGAAGGCCGAGTTTGACGCTGAGAGGTGTGGAATTTCAGGGGGAGAAGGAGAACGGGGCAGCAGCGGCACTCATGGGGTGTCCTGGAGTGGAGCTGAGCCTCCCCTGGCCTCATGGGGAGCCCTGAAGTGTCTTTGTCAGGGGGGAAACGTCTTTGCCCTGCTTTGTGTCCCCACAGAAAGGCCATGCTGGAGCAGCAGGACTGGGAAAGCCGGGTCCTGCAGGACATGGCGCTGGCCATGGAGCAGGACCACGCCAGGAACGAGCAGGAGGCCTTGCTGAACTTCCAGAGCGCCCGGGACGACGTCAAAAACAAGGCAAGGGGGCACAGGGGGGGCACGGAGGGGCTGGCAGGGCTGGCAGGGGACGCCTGGGGGTGTGACCTGTGTGTCCCCAGAGCTGGCAGGATCAGCAGTACAGCAGGCTGCAGCTGGTGGCCAGGCTGGAGGGGCTGTGGGAGCAGATCCAGACAGCACGGAGGAGCTACACCCAGGCCACGGAGAAGAAGAAGGTGGAGTTTGAGGAGCTGAAGAGGAAGTGTGAGAAGACTTCCTGCGAGATTAACGTCCAGGCCAAGAGGCTGGAGAAGCTCCAGGTTTTGGCAGGGTGCTGGGTGGTCCTGGGAGTGGGGTCAGCCTCGTTTTCCTCACTCATTTTTCCATGGGATCATGGAATTGTTGAGGTTGGGAAAGCCTCTGAGAGCCATCAAGCCCAACGTGGCACTGGCAAGGAGGTGACAACAGGCCAGGCTAAGCAGGAGCCCCCCCAGGAGTTTGTGGAGCAGTGCCTGAGCCATGGAATCATGGAATTATTGAGGTTGGAAAGTCTCTAAGACCATCAAGTCCAATTCTCTCAGCACTGCCAGGGCCACCACTAAACCACTTCCCCAGGGGCCACATCCACGTGGTTTTTGAGCACTTCCAGGGACTGTGCCTCCACCACCGCCCTGAACAGCCCATTCCAAAGCTGGCCCACCCTTTCCAAGAAGGAATTTTCCCCAACAGCCTCCCCGCTGTTTCACCAGGACATGGTTACGACCACTAGGGGCCAGATCGCGGCTCACCTGCGGAAGAACGAGGAGCAAACTCAGCGCATCCGGGACGATCGGGAACACGCCCTCCAGAAACTCCTGAAGCTCCGGGCTCAGATCACCCAGGCGGGGGCCACGGCTCACACCCACCTGGTCACGCTCACCTGCCAGTGCAGTGCCACCCTCAAGGTGCTGCAGCAGGTGGTGGAGAAGGTGAGTGGGGATGTCCCTGTGTCCCCCTGTGTCCTGCTGTCCCCTCCCACCTGCCCATCCCGGTGTTCCCCCCTCCAGGCTCAGCGCATCCTACGCCTGGCTGAGATGTGCCGCAGGCTGGAGACGGAGGAGGAGAAGGTTCTGCCCTTCTACCCCTCCTCACTGGCCGAGTGGGAGCAGCAAAAAGTCCTCGACGTCCTGGACGAGACGGCCAGTGAGCCCCTGGCACGGGTGAGGTGGCACTGCCACAGTCCTCAGGGAACAAGGGCTGGCATTCATCCCTGGGGATCCCCCAGCTGGTGTTTGGGCAGGCTGGAGACCCCAGACTCTCCCTGCTGCCTCCCCCCAGGTCATGAGGGACTACATGGGGCTGGAGAGGTTCTGGCAGCGTTTCAACAAGGCGAAGCTGGAGGAGAAGGGGCTGGAGAGGGCACGGGCAGCCCTTGCAGACAGGAACCAGGAGCTGAGGAGGCTCCTCCAGCAGTACCTGGCAGGGGCTACAGTCAAGCAGAAGGTGCCCAAAGACCCCCACCCACTCCTTGCCACCAAGCAAAAGCCTCACCCCCAGAAATGAGCCCCACGTCGTGGGGGAGCCACGCTCAGGGACGCTGGGCATGGTGCACCCCGAGAACCTCTGGGGAGGGGTCAACCACCAGGACCCCTTTCCTGGCTCCAGCTGAGGCTCCGTGGCAGATCTGCCTGGTGTTTGGAGACTCAGGGACTGACACTTCCTGGATATGCCTTAAAAGAGCAAAACTGCCTGAAGAATGTGCTCTGGGGTCTTATTTCCGGGATTCGTTGAGTCTGTAACCTCCTGCTCAGGTCTGACAGGACCCATCAAGGCCCTGGGGCAGGCAGGGAGGGGAGCTGAGGGGTGCACGGCCCCTTCCCACTGCCCTGTGCCCATCACTGTCTCAGGAAGAGCAGCCACAGATGCCGAGGGGAAGGTTTTATTTCTTTTTGGCTTTGTTCCTCTTCTCCTCCTTCTGCTTTTTCTTGGAGAGCTTGGGGCTGCTGGCCTTGCGGTACAGGTGGAACCCAATGAGCCCCAGCAGTGCTGGCACCAGCCCCAGGCACAGCAGTGGCACCACCTCGTTCACCACCTTCTGCCAGTAACTGGCCCGGGACAACCCCACCAGCTCCACCTCGAAGCGCAGCACGGCGTCACCTGCAAGGGGGCCACAGCCTGAGCGGGGACCCCACAGAGACCCCCACGGGGACCCTGAGGGCTGCACTCACCTGGGATGGTTGGGGGAGAGCCCCGCTTGCCATAGGCTAAGTGAGGGGGAATGATGGCTCTGCGCTTCTCCCTGCCACAGAGAGAGTGTTGGTGCCACAAATGGTGGTGGGGACACTGTGAGGGGGGACACTGCCCACCCTCATGTCCCCCATCCACACTTACCCCACACACATGTCCAGCAGACTCTGCTCCAGACCTGTAACACAGTGGGGTGAGGGTGGGTGGGGCTGGTCGGGGTTACCCTGGTGACCCCCCAGCCCTGCTCCCCCTGACCCCTCACTCACCAGGGATGACTTGGTGCTTGCCCAGCTCCACCTGCAGGGGGTCCCGGCTCAGAGAGGAGTCGATGATCCGGCCATCCTCCAGGCTGCCCTGTGGGGGGCACGGCCACGGTCACTGCCATGGTCACCCCTGGGTGGCACTTTCTCCATGTGGCTGCCAGCATGTTCCCAGTGCTGTTCTGGTGCTGATCCCAGTCCCTGTGGCCCTTCTGTGCCACCCCTGTGCTGATCCCAATCCCTGTGCTGATCCCAGTCCCTGTGCCATTCCTGTGCTGATCCCAGTCCCTATGCCACCCCTGATCCCAGTCCCTGTGCCATTCCTGTGCTGATCCCAGTCCCTGTGCCACCCCTGGTCCCAGCCCCTGTGCCACCCCTGATCCCAGTCCCGGTACACTCTGTGCCCCTCTGGGACATCCTCCCCGCTCCCAGTCCCTGTGCCATCCCAAGGTAATCCTCGTGCTGATCCCAGTGCCAGCCATGCCCATTCTGGGGCTGTCCCAGCCCCAGTGTCACTCCAGGTGCCACCCAGAGCCCATGCCAGTCTCAGTGGCACCATGGCACCATCCCCTTATGCCCACCCCGCTACCACCCCTACGCTCACTCCGGTTCCACCCCGGTACCGCCCCATTTCCCACCCTGGTACCACCCCCGGTACCGCCCCGGTGCCGGCCGAGCCCCCCCCGCCGGTGCCGGTGCCGGTGCCCCCCGCCCCGCCCGCCGGAGCGCAGTGCTGACGTGTTCCTCCCGCCGCGCACCGTGTAGTGGATGTGCACCGTGTCCCCCGGCGCCGACAGCTCCGTGCAGCCCTCGGGGGGGGCCACCTGCAACGGGGAGCTCACGGGGAGCCCGGACGGGACCCCCTCCCCTCGGGGTCCGCGCAGCCCCCGCGCCCACGGGACCCCCGAGCGCGCCCCGAGAGCCGAACTCCCGGCGGGGCCCCCCTGTCCTCGGGGCGCCGCCTTCTTCCGCCACAGCCCGGTCCTCCCGCCGCCCTCCCATCGCAGCCCGGTTCTCCCGGTGCCCCGTGGCTCCCCCCGCGCCGCAGCCCGGGCCTCCCGGTGCTTCCTCCCCCGCCCCGTGCCCAGGCCGGGCTCCCCGGTGCTCCCCGAGCGGCACCATCCCGCCGGTGCCCCGTGTCCCGCCGGTCCCTGCCGGTCCCGTCCCGGTCTCAGCTGCCTGCCCAACGGGGCCGCGTGGGTCCCCGGTGCCCGGTGCTTCCCGCGCAGCCCCGGTTCCCCCGTTTCCCCCGGGCTCACGATCGTTTCCAGCCGTAGCTCCCGGGCGCCGGTTTCGGTTTCGCTCTCGGCGGCGCGGGAGAGCGGCGGCGGCGGCAGCAGCAGTGCCAAGAAGAGCAGAGCGGCGGGGAACGGCATGGCCGGGCTGGCGGCGGAGGAACGGGGACCGGGACCGGGACCGCCCCCCACCTCGGGCCCCGCCCTCGGGACCGCCCCCACACCGAGACCGGCCCGGGGACGGGCACCGGCGTCTCCTCCGGGCTCCAGCGGAGTGGGGGGACAGAAGGATGCTCAGGACCGGCCGCTGCCTCGGTGCCCGGTGCCACGCGGGCTCTGCGCTCCGTGGGGACCCCGGTGGGCACCTGAGTCCGCCCGTGCCCGGGACCGTCCCGGAGGCTTCGGCCCACACTGAGCGGGGGCTCCCGGTGAGGGTCGGGGAGGGGGTGAAACGGAGGGTCCGGGCGGGGGTCCGGGCCGGGGGACGCGTCCCAGGCACCGGTTGGGTGCAGCCCCCGGAGTCCTGGCGCCGCCGGTGCCAGCAGGCGGCAGCACAGCCCGGGGAAACCGGCACCCACCGGGGCCCGGGACCCCTCCCCGGGTCCAGAACCCTTGTGCAGCACCCCACGGGTCCAGATCATTCCTTCTCCTGGCACCTCTGCAGCTCTTCCAGCCCCGGCAGTGCAGGACAAGGGAAACCGAGCCCCGAGCCCGGGCTGGGGTCCCGCGGACCGGCTGGAGCCCGGTGGGACGGAACCCGCCGCAGAAGCTCCGTCCCTGCGGACACCCAGCCCTTAGGGCAGAGCTGGGAACACAGAGAATCCCCCGGTCCGGCGGGGTCACACCGGCACACGGTGGGCAGCCGGGATTTCCCACCCCGTGCCCGCGGGGATGGCCTCGTTGGTGTCACCGGTGTCGCTCCGGGATGGTGACGACGTTGACGCCGGGTGCAGCTCCCGGACGACGGCATCGGCACGCCGGCCCCACCGGCGCACCCACATACCAGCCTCGGTTGCCGAGAGGTGGGGAAGCCGGGCTGGCGGCTGGGCCCGGGGCGCTAATGGGATTAGGGGCGCCGGGTCAGCCCTCGCCACACAAAGCCGTCGGTCCAGCCGGTGGGAACGCGTCGGTGCCGGCTCCGCTGCTCCCATCCACCGGGGAGCCCCGGTCATCCTCACTGCGGCTCCCCCATGTCACCTCCACAGCCCCCAGACCACTGTGGGGTACGGGTCACCTGCACTGGAGCACCCCCACGTCACCTCCACAGCCCCCAACCCACTGTGGGACACGTGTCACCTGCACTGGGGCTCCCCCACGTCACCTCCATGGCCCCCAGACCACTGTGGGACACGTGTCACCTGCACTGGAGCACCCCCATGTCACCTCCATGGCCCCCAAGCCAGGGCGAGGAGGGGGGCACGGCCAGGGGGACCACAGAGGTCCTGGCAGCCTTGTGCTGTCCCCCCCCTCTGCAAGGGTCACGCTGCGGGAAGGAGACCTGCCTCGAAGTGACATGGGGGGGCCGGGGACGTGTGGAATGCCCGGGGGGGGCACACGGGGCCGGGAAGGGGTGCTGAGAGGGAGGGGGAGGTGTATAGTCCCAAATCCCCCCCAATGGCCCTGCTGCCCCCACATTTGGTCCAGAGGAAGGCGAGGGGTGCAGGGACATGCATGGGGATGGGGTGTCCCCGGCCCCCCCAGGCAGGGCAGTGCTGAGGTGGCCTCCCCCACCCAGCCCCCATCCCACCCTCCCGGGGCTCTGCCCCTGCCCCCCTGGGCGTTATATAGAGCTCTAATTCCACGCACGCACACACGAGATCCGAGGGGAACCAGGGGGACCCCAAAAAAGGCGAAAAACCCCACAGCAACCGGTGCCAGAAGAAAGCAAAACCCAACCGGGGCAGGGAGGGGGCGGCCGGGGGGGGCCCTGGCACGGCCCAGGGGGGCACAGGGGGACCCCCCCTCACTTCTTGTTCTTGAGCTGATTGGCGAGCCAGTCGAGGCCCTCGTAGAGCCCATCCCCGCTGGTGGCACAGGTGGCCTGGATGTACCAGTTACGGTGGCGCAGGGAGTGCAGCCCCAGCTTGTCCGTGATCTCCGCTGCGTTCATGGCATTGGGCAGGTCCTGCAGCAGACAAGGGAGGTCACACAGGTGCTGCAGGAATGGGTACGACCCCTCCACGGGGGCTGGCACCAGCCCTGATGCCATGGGGGTGGGCACAACGCTGCCACAGGGCACCATCATCAGCACTGATGCGACAGGAAGGAGTGGGAATGTGACAAGGGATGTGACACACCAGCCCTGACACCACAGGGACGGCCAGAGCTGTGTTAAAGACCAGCCCTGGTGTCACAGGGATGGCCCTGGGGGGCCAGCACCACCTCTGGTGCCATGGGGATGGCTCCAGGGGCCACCACCACCCCTGGTGCCATGGGGATGGCCCTGGGGCCACCACCACCTCTGGTGCCACTGGGATGGCCCTGGGGCCAACACCATCCCTGGTGCCACGGGGATGGCTCCAGGGCCCACCACCATCCCTGGTGCCCACCACCATCCCTGGTGCCATGGGGATGGCCCTGGGGCCACCACCATCCCTGGTGCCCACCACCATCCCTGGTACCATGGGGACGGCTCCAGGGGCCACCACCATCCCTGGTGCCACAGGCACAGACGTGGTTCTGTCACACAGCCACTCTGACACCAGCCTTGATGCCACAGCAAGTCCTACACCAGACAGCTGCCCTGACACCCTGGGGATGTCTCAGTCCCACCACGAGGCTCTCCCCGCCCCCAGACCCACCTGCTTGTTGGCGAAGACGAGGAGGACGGCGTCCCTGAGCTCATCCTCTGCCAGCATCCGCATCAGCTCCTCCCGCGCCTCGTTCACCCGCTCCCGGTCGTTGCTGTCCACCACGAAGATCAGCCCTGGCGAGAGCAGCGGGCACCATCAGGGCTTCCTGTGGCCACCCTGCTCCCCGAGTCCCCCCGCGCTGTCCCCTCAGACACCTACCCTGGGTGTTTTGGAAGTAATGCCTCCAGAGGGGCCGGATCTTGTCCTGCCCACCCACATCCCACACGGTGAAGCTGATGTTCTTGTACTCCACTGTCTCGACGTTGAACCCTGCGGGGAGCGACAGTGGAGGGAAACTGAGGCACGGGGAGCCACCAGCCCCTTCAAAGAAGCCCAGATGGGGAGCGGGCTCTGCTCAGTGGCCTCCCAACCCCACCCACCGATGGTGGGGATGGTGGTGACGATCTCCCCCAGTTTGAGCTTGTAGAGGATGGTGGTCTTCCCAGCAGCGTCCAGCCCCACCATCAGGATCCGCATCTCCTTCTTCCCAATCAGGCTCTTCAGCAGGTTCCCGAAGATGTTGCCCATGGTGACGGCGGCGCTGGCTCCGAGGCCGGATCCTGCGGGGGCATGGGGCAGGCTGGGGGAGGCCCTGAAATCTGCAGGGGTGGAGCTGAGGGGTCCCCCGTGCTTGGAGGTGGGGGGGGCTGCAGGAATTGGGGATGTCCTGGCGGGGATGCAGGGCTTGGGGGACCCCAGGCAAGGGGCTGGGGAGGGGGCCACGCACTGCACGGGGGTGTCTGTGTGTGCAGCTCGGTATGGGGGGCTGCAAAGATGGGGATGCTGTGCCGCCCCCCGCTGCACCCTGCAGAAGGACAGCCCAGGGCGCTGCACTGGGGGAAACTGAGGCAGGGCTGTCGCCCTCCTCGAGGGGAGCAGAGCCCCCGGATCCAACCCCTCCTCCGCACGATGCCCCCATCACCGCAACCTCGCCGGAGGGGGAGGCCCCCATCGCCCCCCCCGCACCGCAGCGCGCCCCTTCCCCCCCA